TAACAGATTGCTTACCACGCTGTCTTTGAGTGATGGCTATTATCTAAATATCATATTTTCTCTTGTCCTTAAGTGAGTTAGGCTCTCCCCTATTTGTCAAATTTATTTTCAGTTCCAGTCCTATGTGTCAGTGAGCTTTTCTCCTAGCTTGGTGTTATCTCAGAGACAGGCATACTCTATCTTCCAGCTCACTAGTGCACAGGTATGTGTGTACATGGGACAGATTAGTTCAAGCACTCTGCCCGGCTATGTAGCCTCGATTCATAGGAGTCTGCTAGGATTTGAGACATGTAGGGTTGCGTGATTTCAGTATCAGATGTCTCTGAAAGACAGTATCCAAAAAACCCATTATGTTGTTTGGATTATCAGTTTTGCTGACACTTCAGTGTTTGTACTTCAGCACTTACAAGTATTTAAACATAATCCAGTAAATGTGTATTTATTATTCTACATAGCACTACTAGGAGGGTCAGAGATCACACCAGTATTTAGGCCACAATCTTTGCCATATGAATACTTAAAACTTGGAGCAGAGTCTCCCACGCCGTTCCATGTAACAGTTATAAAAATCCTGATCTGGAGCTTAAATGCTAATTTTAACATGCTCAATGTCTTGCCCTGAGATTTTGAAATAAACCCTCTTAAACCAAAGCCATTGACTTACTGTATATGTGTTTGTATGTATATTCTAAGCGAAACCTGAGCCTCTCCACAGCCTAAGACACGTTGGCCTGAAACAGGTGGTTTACATTACTTTGCAAAATCTTCCTAGGTAACCTGGATAAGAGCATGTTTAAATGAAAAAGGCAGATGAAGAATGGGGAAGAAATCAGTTGGAGACAGAGGAAATTTCATAAAAGGGTTGATAAATGAAAGAGTGTGGTTCTTCTGAGTGTTTATGGTTTCAAATGTTTGGTTGTGGTGAGTCTGAAGACAGGAGTGCCTTTTGAGTAACGTGCATCAAAACCTGATGCAAGTTCAGCAACCTCACGGAGTAATTGGTGAGTTTTTCAGGCGATTCAGCCTGAAAAGCTTAATGACTACTGAAATCTCATTTTCACTCTCCAGGAGGATAATGTGTGTATCCCCTCTCCACCTTGAACGGCAGCGCTGCCTGGTCCTATGCCCTTTCCCTGACATCAGTGCTGACAGAACTCCACAGACATGAAACCCTGCAGATAGTAAATGAGCACAGACTGCATTGCCCAAGCCCCTCTCTACTAGGTGGATTTCCTGGGATTCTATGGAAAAGGTGCTGCATTGACTTAGCTCTGGCCATTATGGTATATGGTCATGTTTCTGACGTAGTACAGGTCCCTACCTCACTTCATTTTGGGCTGGAACTGTGTCATGTCCTGTGTTCATTACTGTGCAAGGCTAGCCTTGTGGCCCTGGTCAGAATGCTCAAGAAAAATAAAAGCAGATTATTCTGCATGCAGAGAAGTGCTGCTGGACCCTTTGGGTAGATGGAAAAGGTTGGAAACACAAAAATCCAGAAAGGATCACTGTTTATAAGTTGACTAAGAGAATAAATTCCAAGAGGATTGAGAGTTGCAGAAGTTATGAGATCAAAGTGAAACATAGACAGAAGGAATAGACTAGCAATAAATAAATAAGGACCAAAAATGAGAATGTTTCTGAACATACAGAGGTGTACTGAGAGCATAAAGATGATGGTGGGAACTGTCTCTGTCAGTGTGGCACTTGTGCAGTGTAAGAGTGATGGCCTTGCTTTACAGTCTCTTGTGATCTCTTCTGTAACAGACTGAGTGTGAACACCCAAAGGAAAGATCACACATCAACTTTAGCTGTTGTGCTAAGCCAGAGTTTACAAAAACATTTGTATTTATTAGAGATGATGGGTTACAGTGAGGTTACCTGAACTCAGCATGGCTTTGGACTATGGACAGCATCTTTCCTTGATAGTCCTAATTTCAGTCTTCAAACAAGCCTTAGTCGCTCCTTATTTCATCTCTAAAAGCAGCTGGTTGCCTGATTCCTTTTAACTTTTGTTCCTAAGTCTTGCTTGGTGAGAAGAGAGTTGGTAGGTGTGCAGCCTTGGCTATGAGTGACATCTCCTGGTAGAGAGAGCTGCCAGTGACTTAGTGTCATTTGAGGGGTAGTTTCATATTTGTCTTGAGGCTCTGGAAGACAAAGGAGTCAAACCTGCTTCCTTGCCTTCACAGAGCTGTCTCCCACACTGGTGTGGTCCTTCCTGGGTTATGCACAGAGCAACAGGGTTTCTGCAGCAAAACTGCCATCAGCTGGAGTGGCTGACAACATCCTTCTCAGTTCTCTGTCTTAGAGACAGAAAGGATATTAGATCTGGTTGTGTTTTGAGACCATCACTGGATGGAACCAATGGTAGCCCTTACAAAAAAAGCAAAGAGACCAAAATTAGAAACAGACAGAGATGCCTGAGCAGCTGGGCTGTGCTCCAACATCTACAGAGTGCTTAATGCCCATGCAGCCGGGCAGGGCTCCAGCACCAAGCAGCTCTGAGGCTGGAGAGAAGAAAAGCAGCATCATTTCTATGCCTACTTATGGCCTTATGTTTTTGTCACTGCTTACAGAGGGCAGTATGGGAGAAAGAGTAGAGATCTGTCTCTATTTGGGGTCTAGCTGGGCACAGAAACAGAAGATCATGTCTGCTTAATCTTTAGCTAAGGAAAAACTGCTAATGGAAGAAAAGTCCTGGAGTCTGGCAACCAGGCAGTCAAGTACTGCTCCACTTGGTGGACACTGGGAAGTGTCTGCATGACAGTGGTGTGAATTTAAAACTCAAAGGAGCTGGAAGAAGTGAGAATAAGTTCATTCTTTAGCCACTGCAGAACCTAGAGCTGATGGAGGTAACCAAGTGCACAGAAAAGGGAACTTGTTGAAATGCCTCACTTTTCTGAACAAATGGCAGGTGAACTTTTATGACATTGAATTCCTTACCTGGATTTGCAATGTTGTTGTTTGGTTTGGGTTTTGTTGTTTGGTTTTTTTAAATAATCAAGTATTCAGTATGTACACTTTGAGTACTATTTAGAAGGTTATTACTTTGCTAGGCTGCCTTCTGGATTATGCTTATCATTCTGTACATTCTTTTCTTGTATGAAACATTTCAGTAAAATGCTCCTCAGTAGCATAAGAGTTCACAGATGGATACTCTGATACGGGATACAGCAATGAAATCACATCTCTACAACCCGCAGAGTCCTGAAAAGGTCTCATGATCCTGAACTAAAATTCAGGCAAGAGTCATATTCAGGGTTAAGGAAATAAAGTGCCTTGGCAAAAAAATGACTGATCTCAAGCTACAGGTGGGACGCAGACAATTATCATTATGTCTCTGCCTACAGACAAGGGATTTCTACAGGTGTTTATTGGAATGGTCCATTATAGGGAGAAAATTGTTCCTGCTTTGCTGCTAATGCTGGTACTTTTCGGAGTGTGGCTGCTGAAAAGATACAGCAGTCAGACAATACCCACCACAACAGGAAATTTGAAAATCTTAGAAGTTGTGCAAAGTCACCCAGCCTTCGTTCCTATGACAGCAAACACTCAACAAAACTTTTAGTGGCTGCCTTTAGGCAAGATTTCAGAGTAAGGGTGACAATAATTGTGTGAATGTGCTGTGCAACTGTCAGCAGCACTTTCATTTTTCAAGCACGCTAACTTATCTATACTGTGCAGCTAATTTTACATTACAGCATCTGGTTTTGTTCATTTTCCTTGGGTTAAAATAATCTTTGTTTAACAGACATGCTCAGTGCTATCGTAACCTGAGCCAGCTACTCTCTCCAATAAGAAGAAAAGTCTCCCAGCTGTCACGCTCTGCTGTTTCTAATCGCTTCAAGCCTTGGGTTCTGGGGCATTTTTGAATAAAGCTGGATAAAATACATTCTTACTTCCTACTGTCTGGTATGTGCACTAGACTATTTTTTCAAGCTGCATTCTTGCAGATACTGGCAAGCATGCTGTGCCCCTAACAGGCACTCACAAAATGTGAGTGTAACAAGCTTCCAAATTTCACAGTTAGCCTCAGCAGATTTACATGTGAGTGTGATGAGAGGGAGCACAGACCTCCAGGTCTGTGTTATGTTTCCAATGGACATGTCTGCAGCATCTTCAAAGCAAGCTCTCTTGGCATTTCTAGGTTCCATTTTCTCTAGGTAGGTGGGAAGATGTTATTTGTCAATAGTTAGAGATTTCCAGAGGTGCATTGCTTCTTTTCACTTGGGCTAACTTCTGAAAATAACTCTAGGATTTGGGGTCATTAGTAAGGTCAGGTAACACTATATAGTTATGGCGCCTGGGACCCCCTCTCATAAAACCAGACCAGTGAGAAGATGGCCCTGATCAGAACTTACATGCTTTTCATAGTTGCATGCGTGACATGAGGTGCCAGAATGGATTTGGAGCACTGACCTGGTATCACCTGAGGTCTGGAGACTGCTGGAGCCCCAGTTCTGGCATGCAGATGCAGAACAGGTTCAGTCACCTTACCTTATTGAAGTGTGACAGTAGTTGATGTAGTTGCCTGCACTGAAGTATTGTCACCATCCTGTAATGTATTTCTAAACATCTCCTACAGTATTTGTGTATAAGGAGAAGAGAAATTAGTATCCATGTGAGCAGTGATCAGTGCTTTTGAGTATGGAGCATCGATATGGGTAGAAATGGATTTCTTGTCACAGTAAGAGCAAGTATGTCCACTAGTGCTATTTAGTTGTTATATCTGTTGAATTTACATCTAGATTATAAATCTGGGAAATACACTGGGCACAGGGCGGATCATGGAGATGTGGCATGGCCCATGAATGCACATCTGCAGGACACCGGGGACTGAGCTCTGCCTCTAAGAAATCCCACACAAGGACGTGGAGTAGGAGATGGGACAGGGATGGACAAAGGCTTCATAGTGGAAAGAGCCTGCAGGAATGTGCCTAAAGACCTTTGGAGTGTGAGGTAAGATGAGCTACTGGAATACTAATATCTTTTTTCTGCTCTAGTCACAGGTACCAAACCAAAGATGTCCTCGACAAGAAAGATTCTACTCATCCTGGGATTCCTCTCTACTTTGGCTGTAATTGCTTTAATTGCTGTAGCAGTGACCCAAAACAAGCCACTTCCGAAGAATATTAAGGTATTATAAGCTGGTACTCTTAAAAGAAAACAAGCTGGGGAGTTAGGTGTTCATAGCGCTCAAGGACATGTTGCTGCCCTTGCTGGGTCTGGCTAACCTCTTTTTCTGGCTCCATGCACCTCAACATCTTGTTTTACATCTTTGTCAGGGGATCATCTCTTAAGTAATCAGTCTCAATTTTGCTGCTTTTCTGCTCTTGTATCTTTTGGTGGAAACTTTACACTGAAGCACTACCGCTAAGAGTAATGACACACATTGCCACAGCTGCCAGATAAGCTGTTCGCTTCTGGTCCCGCCGTGTGTGGAGGCCAGCACATACTGTGTCTGGTTTGGTGCCTCAGGTGTGATAGTGGCTCTGTCTTGCCCACAGTATGGGATTGTGCTGGATGCAGGATCGTCCCACACTAACCTCTATGTGTACGAGTGGCCAGCAGAGAAGGAGAACGACACTGGGGTGGTGAAGCAGGTGGAGGTGTGTAAAGTTGAAGGTAAGAGGAGGAAAGGGAGCTATGGAAGGGGCATGGGATGAAGAAGAGAGAATGCAATCAAAGGGTGGGGGAGGAGAAACCCAGAAGAGGTCAATATTGAAACAGTGTTATGTCACTTAAGAGTTAGACTTGATGATCCTTGTGAGTCCCTTCCAATTCAGAATATCCTGCGAGTATTCTGATTCTGTAATCTGTGAGCTAATGTATATCCTACCTCTTCCCATGGGGAGCTGTATATGTTTGACCTTCCTGGGGGAAAAATGGATCCACTTTTTCCTTTGTTTTTAGAATGCTTGGAACTAAGTGCTTTTTGGAAAGATCTATACTAAAGAATGTATTTAAATAAATAAAATGTCAGCATGCACTCTTGCTGAAGTGCTGATGAACATCAGGCAGTGAGAGGGGAGGGCATAGTTTGCTCTTTTTCGAGGCTTTTGTGCAAGCTAGGCACTGGACTTGAGGCCCAAGGTTGCTCAACTTAAGCATGTCATGGTTTATTTTTTATTCTATTTAATTGCTGTGTAGATATTTTATGGTTCAGGAAGGCATAAATGAAGCCTGAGGGTGCACACAACAAGGAGCAGCACAGACTGTCATGGATCATTGCACTCTGAAGGGATGAGAGGTGTTGTCAGACGTGCCTGGGGTCTTTTCAAGCCCCCACAGTGTAGGGAAGAGCCATGCTGTTATCAAGCTGCTGCAGTAGCTGCTCAGCACTGCACCATCCCATGTCATGGGCAGCACACTGAGCATATGGAACCTGGAGCGAGTGCAGCCTGGGCTTCACTGCTGCACAGGCACCGGGCCTGGGGCAGTTCAGGGGACATGTGGTAGAGAAGGACAACAAATTTTTCTTTGTGTTAGCATGAAAGGCAATAGCTGCAAAACACCCAGTGTTGTAGTGTGACTGTAAAGTACACAAACAAATGATAGCATCTGCCCCTTGAGGGCCCAGCAGAGTGAAGGGTCAGGGATTTTCAGGCACAGATCCAGGGTACTCCCAGGCAGACAAAAAAGTCTGCAGTTGTTCAGGACATGCTCAGGAAACGGTTTGTTTCACTGCAGTCCTCATTACCGGTTCATAGCCTGCTTCTTGGAGAACAGGTGGCAGATGCTGGGCACTGTGGCCATCCTCCTGTGCATTGGGTTTAGTTGGTGCTGTAGGACTTCTAAAGCCTCTCAGGAATGGGGTGCTTGAATCTGATACTGCTGCCTGTGATATGGTTTAATACACCTGCTCATGGCAGCATTGTGGGGTTGTGCTTGGAGTTGGAACAATGAAGTGTCTTTATTTCTTGCAGGCCCTGGGATCTCAGGTTACTCCCATGCCACAGAGAATGCAGGTCCCTCTCTGGCACAGTGCCTACAAAAAGCAAAAGAGGTGATTCCCTCAATGCAGCACAAAGAGACACCTGTCTACCTCGGAGCAACTGCTGGCATGCGGCTTCTCAGGTACTGCAGGGCCTGTCCCGTTCTCCTGCAGCACTGCACCTGGGATCACCATAGATGCTCAGTGGGGGCCTCTTGGGAAAAATCCTTGGAGATACTAACAGCTCACACTGTGCCCAGATACCCTCTTCTGAAGCTGACCTCTCTGAACCCTGAGTCCTCCTGGCTCTTCCCTTGCTTGCCCAGCTTGCCACTCACTCCAACCTTCAATCATCTCCTGCATCCAGATGCAGCACAGAGACACCAGGAGATCAGCAGTGCCCAAGCTGATGCTTAGACATCCCCCACATCAAAGGGATGCTCAGACATCTCCACAATCTGGTATTAGGCCTAACCTAGAATTTTTAAGCCCAACCATGTTGTAACTCCCCACATATCTTGACTCTTCCTGGGGCCATCGGAGGATAAGGTAACTTTATAATCACATAGTCCTTTAATTCTAATTTGTGATTTTCGTGAGTGTGCCCCAGAACTCTGGCTATAACCCAGAGCTGATGTTATGTATATATTGCCTGGGAGATCTCCCTGGGGATACCTTCTGGATTTCTTCTCTAATGGTGGTGGTGAAGAGTGAGAGGAATCTCCTCAGTGCAATTCCTAACAGGACACATGCTCCAGGTGAACAAGAGCTCTGGTCTCTGCTCGAAGTACCACTCTCAGCTCCAGGGTCTATAAGTGTCAGACCTGGTGGCAGCTGTGCTGTCAAGGTGTTGACAGAGAGGGACTGGCCAGCTGGAACTGGATAACCCATATGAATGACTATTCTCTTATAATTAACATTTCGTGGGTAGTTACAGCCTGCCTACTCAGAGTAAAGCTCATAGACTACAGAGAGCTGTCAGCCAGAGTCACTCCATTCTTTCTTCCATTCATCCAGGTTGGAGAATGAAAGTGCAGCTGACGAAGTCTTATCCTCAGTAGCGAAGACACTACGCTTAGCTCCCTTCAACTTCCAGGGTGCCAGAATCATCACTGGTCAGGAAGAAGGGGCCTATGGATGGATCACCATTAATTACCTTCTGGGCAGTTTCAAGCAGGTAGTATATCTGTAGCAAGTATGTTTGAATAATTGGCTTGCAGCACTTTGTAAATCATGTCTTCCAAGAAGCTGTTGCAGGCACTATCTTCCCTTGCAAGCCATTTACCAGGGATCAGGAAGCTGCACATCTTGCCTCAGCAGTTACTGCAAGTACATCCTGATATCAGGCTGCACCACTGTAGTCAGGCTTAAAGCACTGAAATAAAATACCAGCATCTTCAATAATTTTGCTTGGGTACAGTGTCCTCCTCACTTCCTGATCTAAAATACTTCTGTGTCTGTAAAGTCTGACAGTGATTCTTTACTACTGAGCTTATAAGTCATCTGGGATCTGAAACAGTAAGTTGGCTGTCTTTTTCTCATAACAATTGTATTACATTTCATATTCTTAGTCCTCCTGCAAACACTATGACTTGATCGAAGTTCTGCATTTACAAGCCTGCGTCTTTCTTGTGTCTTGTTTCAGCTCTCGTGTCATGCCCCTCTCCAGGACTTCCTGTGTCTTCTGTATTCTGTGCTTCGGCTTCTCTTCTCATAAGTCTTTCTCTTTTTTATTTTTATCTCCAAAATAAAATCTTCTCCATGCCTGATATATCTGTTTTACTTTGAAATTAATTGTTTTTTCAAAGTCTGGCTGGAAAAAGCTTCTGCATTCCCTGAAATCCACAAGTGAGACATCAGGAGCGCTAGACCTTGGAGGAGCCTCAACACAGATTACCTTTGTATCAAAGGAAATCTCTTCTGAGTCTCCAGAGAACCAGCTCTACTTCCGTCTCTATGGCAAGGATTATCAAGTGTACACACACAGCTTTCTCTGCTATGGGAAGGACCAGGCTCTGCAACAGAAACTGGCCAGGGACCTACAGGCAAGTATATCTACACCTGTAATTGCACATGGAGACCCTGGACCCTCCCATCTTTGGCATACTGGTGCTGTAAAAGTTGCTGTGTCCCAGATAAATGCTTCATTGCTTAGTCTGGATTAGGGAAACGTCATTGTCCTCCATAAAAACTGGGCATGAGATGCCCAAAGAGGTGACAGTCAATACTTTCAGAAGTACTACCAATCTGAGATACCTTGATTCTTGGGCACAGGACACCAAGAGAACTGCATTTAATTGAAGTACTCAGGGGAGGCGACATTTTACCATCTCTGAGAATCCCAAATCAACAGCACCTTCACAAACTGTGGCTGAAAGTAATTTGCCCAGGGTCCTACAGGGAGGCTGTGGCAGTACCCACATCTTTCCTCTCAAAGCCAGTGTCTTAAGCCATCCTCATTGCTTTGACCTGATGTGTGCACCTTGATGTGATGTACTTGATGAGACAAGTGCCTTGGGGCCACCATTCCTTGTGGCTCTTTCTCAGGGTGTTACTCTAGAACAAAGTGTAACAGCTTGAGTTGATTTTTACTTTCAGACCGTGGAGAGCAGCAGTCTCCTTGACCCATGCTTTCACCGGGGTTATCAGAGGACTATAAATATAAGTGACTTCTTCAAAAATCCTTGTACATCAGACAAGAAAAAGCAATTACCTTTCAGCCAGCTATACATAGAGGGAGAGGGGGATTATCAAAAGTGCCGAGAAAACATCCAGAAACTCTTCGACAAAACCAGCTGTCCTTACTCCAGTTGCTCCTTCAATGGGATATACCTACCTCCATTACAAGGGGATTTTGGGGTGAGTCTTCACAGTTTTCAACTCTTTGTAATTCAGAATGTCAGAAGAGCAGAAGCTCAGTGTAATGCTACAGTGCATTCTTCATGACTGAGGCAGGAAATAATTTATAAGGTGACTTTTTGGACATATAACTACAAAATTAGTGCTGCACTTGTGGTGAGGATAGACATGAAAGAGCTACTGCAGTAAATACTGGCCTGCCAGTACTGCACTGTTCCCATTCTAACCCAACTCCTCGGGGTTCTGTATTTACTAATTCATTTTTTAAGCAGTCCTTCCTGATGGCCAGCACCAGAGGCAGGAGAGACTGCTGCAGGCAGGTCCCCTGCTCCGCAAACCTTGTCTCCTGAGGTCAGTGGTGGAACGAGACCTGAAATTCACCCAGAAGTGTCTTGAGTGCTACTAAAACCAGTCAGCTCACCTGTCTGCGTCCCAGACATGATGAGGAGACAGTGCACACTCCGAACACACATTATGGGTGACCATGCTGACCATCAGTCCTAGAGCTGTAACTCTTCAGTGACTTTGAGGTTTTCTGGGGAACTATTAATACCCCCTTGCCCTGTTCATAAACTGCCCCCTACCTATCAGCTACTGGCCATAGTCAGGGGTTTTCTGGACTCTGGATTATATGATGGGGCACTGTACAGTCCTTTCAGACCATCACCTCTGCTCTTTTTGGTGATATTGGTTGCACGTTCACCTCATTCAGTTGCCGAAATTGGATCACAGTTGTGATGGCAATCAGCGTTCACTGTATGCCAATGGCACATGTAAAGGTGAGAGATTACAGAAGTTCTGCAGGATACCATAATTCCTACCTCCACCTCTCAGCAGTTCAGTGGGGTTGTCTCAAAATGACATCAGTCTTGAAAGTATACCTGCTCTTATGTGTGGGATGTTGCTTCTTATATTTCTCCATCTGTAAACATACTGATTTTTTTAAATGGGATTTCTGCTGTTCTGCTCATGTGGAGGCCCAGTCAGATTAAAACAATCTTTCTTCTTCAGGCTTTTTCTGCTTTCTATTTTGTGATGAACTTTTTGAACCTCACCAGTGAATCAAGCCCTGTTCCCCTGAACAAAGTGACCAGAACCATTGAGAGTTTCTGTGCTCGACCTTGGCAAGAGGTGAGTAGTGCTTGTTGCAGTAGACTATGGCTGCTAATACTTTGATGTAGGATAAATGTCTGGGGTTAATTTCCAAAGCAAGATGGGGAAGATTCCCCCATCACCTGCAGTGGATGCTCAGGCCCAAGCTGGAACAGTGGGAAGGTGTGTTTAACAGCCTGGGGATTGCCTCCTTCCCTAGGTGAAGACAATGTATCATGACATCAAAGAAAAGTACCTGAGTGAATATTGCTTCTCTGGAGCCTACATCCTCTCTCTCCTGGAAAATGGCTATGAATTCACTGACGATAACTGGCAAAGGATCCACTTCCTTGGACAGGTTTGTATCGTGGTGGGGAGGGCTCTACCCTACACACCCTTACTGCACAGCCTGGCCCTGTATCCCCAGGAGGTCACTGCCCCAGCAATGCCACAAGCATCCCCCGCGTCTCCCAGTGCTGATTCTGCTCCTCTTCTGTTTCAGATCGGTAGCAGTGATGCAGGTTGGACCCTGGGCTACATGCTGAACCTGACCAACATGATCCCTGCAGAGGAGCCAGCTGTGCCCCCTCTTTCCCACGGCAGCTACGTGGGGCTGATGGTGCTGTGCTCCCTTGTGCTGGTGTCTGTGCTCCTGTTTGCCTGGCTTCTCTTTCACAAGCCCAAGTGCCTGCAGAAGGGGGTTGTTTAGGAAGAACCCGGACGGGAGAGGGGCCATGTCACCCTGGCTGCTCAGGGCTAGGAGACCCCAGCAGAGCAGGCTGTACTGCAGAGTTCCTCTCACTGAAGCTACTGACTGTACAACAAGGGCATTTATTTCTTCTGACTCACACTTGCACTGAGAGATGTTGGGACATCAGGCTCGCCGCCTTTCTCTGCCAAGGACAGACAAGCTGGTGTCCCCTCCTTGAATGGGTTGTACTTTCATTCAATGAAACTTTGCTGCTTGTTGGTTTCTGCCTTGTGCACAGCATTATAAAGAGAAAAGTGGCAGCAATCTTTGGGAGCCAGTGCTCCTGCAAGGGTAATCTCAGGGTCACACATCCCACTGAGCTCTTGGGAGCTGTCACACACAGGGTGATCCTGCTCCTTCTCTGCTGAAGTTGTTCCCAAGAGCCCTTTCCACACCAGCACACCTCTGCTCACCTCCCCGCACCCTGAGCTCTCGCAGCCCTACAGCTGGGTACAGCACTTGCACCTGGCTGGCCCCTGAAGGTGGGTCAGGCGCCCAAATGCCACTCTGGGAAAAGAAGGGATGAGGATGAAGAAACTGAGTGTGCTGGTGGTCATCAGCCCTTAGCCGGGCTCTGGTGGCTGTCAGTTCCTTTTGCAGGTGGCAAGAAGCCTTTTTCCCACATCTTCCTGATGTTGTTGCTGGACCAAAGCTGGCTCACTGTCACACTGAGCCATTCCCATGCCCCTAGGGTACATCAAGACACAAGTTCCCAGCCAGGCATTGCTGTTTTTCGCAGGAACAGCTTGTACTGGCCAAGGGTCCTTGACCAGTAGTGAGTGCTTATGCCTACAGGGACTCAGCGTGCCTACTGGTATAGACCCACTGAAGCAATCCAGGGTCACTATGCTGATAATACAGCAGCCTTCAATCTAGGGAAAATGTTTATTAAGTAATATTCCTATAGACAGCTGGCAGCAGTTAACCAGCATTGGTTAACTTTGCTTTCCACCAGCAAAATTAGTGAAAATTTGCCTTTCCTTCCCTGATGGCATAGGCTTATCCTACGGCCATAAGACCCAGGGCTTGTGAGTGCACATACTGAGGCCCATCTTCTAGCACACAACTAGGATGATGCCATTGATTGGGTTTACAAATCACTTCCTTCCATTTTTCCACTCCTTGGTCCAAAAAAAAAAAAAAAAAAAGAGGTAAGTCAGAAATCCATCTTTGTAAAAACACTCAGAAACCACTGGTGCCTGTCTACCTCCCACAAAATCTTGGATATCTCTTCTCCTAATGGCCTGTAAGTGCTGGAGGTCAAAAGAAAGCAGATATTATAGAGAAAAAGGCATAGTAAACACATAACTTCACATGTTTCCCCAAGCAAAGGTGCAGGCAGTGAGGAGGGCGTCAGGATGTGCAAACCCAATAACACCTTCTCCTTTAGGCAAGCACAGACACAGAACTTGGAGTTTTCATGCTCTCCCAGACCGTTCTTTTGCACAGTCCAGGCATGAAAATGTCCCCCAGTTATTTCTGCTTCATGCCTGGAAGTAGAAGCCCTAACATATTGAAGGACGTAAAGGTAAGGGAAAAATCTACCCTCTCCCATGTTAAGATTTTTGGGCAGATCATTGTTCTTCCAAAACTTTGTGTCTTATTTTTGCTCTGAAGTAGCTGGCTTCAGCTTCTGTTGGACCTTGTTCTGCCCATTTCCAAAGGACTGAGTAACTCTGCTATTAAAAAATCCCTTTTTCCTTGTTGGTGCTTGCAAGTTGTCATTATATCATATTAAACAGGTTGATCTTCAATCTGTAAAGTGCTCTGTGCTGACCTCACTTGTAGCTCTTGACTCCACTTCTTTTAAAAGTTTTACATCTTTCTGAAATTGGGACACCAAAGTTTTTATCAGTGAGTGACAGTAGAGTCATTAACAGCGTGTATAAAGTAATATCCTCTGGTTTTGGTCTATACTCAATGTTTCCCATTTATCTATTTCAGGGCCAGGTCTGCTCACTTAACAGAAAGCTTTGAGGCTGTTTTGTCCAGTTGGACTATTGCAACTCTTCTTTTTTTCTCAGTAATTGCATTCCAGAACAGCTGCTGCTCCACATTGTACATCACTGTCTCTCAATATGAGCTATTTTGCCGTCCATGTAGCTCCAGTGAAACACACACTGTTCAAAGAATATTCCCCCAAGCAGGTTATCCAGTTCAATCCACAAATGACACTTTACCACACTGTTAGTCCATTCATCATTTTTTGTTTGATCTGCAAATAGATTGAGATGTTGGAATTCAGCTAGAGATGCAGTCTTCCTTAAGTTTTCTCAGCAGAGGTAGGTAAATGAGAGACTAACGGTAGTTTTTGGTCATGGCTGGAAGGCATTCTAGAGAAAAGTGTGATTAGAGCTGCTTCTGCTGCCCAGACAGCCCCATTTGCAGCACACCCTGTCTTGTGCCACCTTCCTTGCATACGGAGTCTTCATAGCAAAGCAGATGCCCCAGAGAAGCTCCCCACACGTGCTGGTGCATCCTTTCTCCCCATGAACAGCATGGAAACCTGCAAAATGGCAGTTCCTCTCCTGAGATCCCTTTGGGGATCTGGCAGCTGCTGAGTTGTGTCCATGAAGAGAACTGGCAGATTCATTAGGACATTTCAGAAATTGATGCAGAAACTCCATGTGGAAGCTGGTGTGGAAAGCAAGCTTGTGCCAGTCTGCTTTTCTGGTCCCTGCTAAGGGTTTATGCCAAAGGACAAATACAGAACCCGTGAGAAGAGCTTTCATAAAGTTTTGTATCTTTATTGCAAGTCCCATAGTATTAATATTGTTAGCTCCTGATTCTAGACCAGGTGAGCAGCTGGTGTCTTCACTTACTCCCTCCCGTCTTAATTATCTTGCTTTTTGGTTTCAGTTTTGGGGTTTTTTTAAAGCTTTAAATGTGACTTGAGTGTAACCTAAAGACCCCAAACTAAGATAAATACAAAATATGTTAAATTTTTTTAAACCTTGTGATTTTTAGACCTCTCCAGATCTCTCCAGAATTAGAATTTTAAAGGTGACAGCAGACATGCCATTTGAAAAATCACTTGAGCAGACTGAGGCTGCAGGAACTGGTTGACTGAAGGCATCCTGTCAAGAAGGGACCCTTGCATATCACTGCCTGTATGTGAACCTTCACAGAACAGTCTATCACTTTTTTTTTTCTCCCTATTTCTCCTGTTATTGCAGGACTTTATTCATGGAGGCTACTCAAAATCCTTGGTCAAAGAGTTCAAGTTTAATGAATATTCATTTCTTTGCTTCTGTGTTGTGTCTGACCCAGCTGTATTCAGCTCAAATGTATGTTTCAGAGCCACACAATGTGTACAGGAAGACCATTAATGATAGTGGAGGGAGCGTCCAAATATGCCAGTAATAATGTATCACTTCTCTTGTTAATACAGTTGATCTGCCTTGCTGATAATTATCTGTGCCTTATTTCTAATTTGATAGCTTCTGGCTTTAATTTCTGGCCACTAGCTGCTGTACTGTTTTGCTTTTCTGGGGTAAAGCATCTTTTAACACCACATGTTCTTGTCTAGCAAATATTTATTCACTATTCAGCACTGCTGAGCTGCCAAGACTCCAGACCTTGATCTCTCCTAGAAGAGAGAGCTCTCCTGAGCTCCTAGGAAGCCTTGAGATGTGCTGCAGCAAGGTGAGATGTCTCTGTTTTAGGTTCAAATGTTGATAGGTCCATTTTTGGGAAGGTTCCTTGCAGGGGATTTCATAGTTTTGGATAGTGCAGGAGCAGTCTGGTCTTGCTGGGACTGATGACTTCTGTGACCTCTCCCATATTCACTCAAGTGTCGGGTGTGGGGCAAAGCCAACGGAACATGTCAGAGGAGAGAGCCTGGCTGCCTGCAGCACACTCACCTCTTGCAGAAAACAACTGGCTCTCATCACAGGCTCTACGTACCTTTCACTCTCCTCCCTGATAAAGCTACCTCTCCTCTGTGCACGGGCTACAGCTAATTTCTCTGGCCCTACAGCAAAGCACAGGGGAGCCTCCACTTGAAAGGAAGCTCTCAGAAGTGGGGCCATCACCTCTGCAGTGGGAGGCTGATTTGAAGTGTCTGGGCTGACCAGGGCTCTCCAGCTTCTCCAAGAGCAGCTCTGAGCCGGATGTGTACCCCTTCCTTCTCCACCCCAATTCTTCCCATGCACTGTGCCAGGAAGGATGTGTAGGGCTGCCAGCTTTGTCACAGGCTCTACAGACTGTTTAGGAGGGGCTGGGGGGACATGCTGAGGACAACAGTTCCTGCCACCCAGGCCATGTGTTTTCTTTCTGTCGCCCAGCCCTGAAGAAATGGATCTTTGTTTTGATGCACACACAAGTCTCTGTATGCTTATCATAATAAAGACTTCTGAACTTATGCCAGAAAAGTTTTCGTGCTCTTTTCCAGAAGATGGGAGTTTGTCAGTAGTGGAATGAAGCTTCTGGCACTAAACATGGAAAAGTCCTGAGATGTGATTTCCTCTCTTGTCAGTTCCTTTGATGTTCTTCTGGGTCAGATCTGAAGTTCATGGTGGATGGTAGCATCCCCTCCTGGTAGGGAAAGGCACTGTGGTCTTTCCCAGGCTCTAGGCAAATCACACGGGTGGCCTCATTCCCGGGAGGAGAGTATTGGCTACTATTGTTAGTAGCCAAACCCCATCCTTCCTTGCTTTAGCTTCACCCTGACCTCTTCAAAGCAGCTTGTTCTCTCCTGCTGCTAACTAGATGGATGCAGTCCTCTGTCCTCATTTTTCCTTTCCCTCCCCCAGGCAGCACCACTGGCATCATGCTGGCACTGCAGCCCACCCTCCCATGCCCCCAGACAGGTGAAGGAGGGTGGGCCTGTGCCCCTTGTTCACAGGGCTGTGTGTCTCCATGTGCAGTCAAAGCTGTAGCTCTGCCAAGGCAAACATGCTTGCCATGGTCTTTATTTTTCTTTCAGCATGAACTCTCCACAGTTTGCTCGTTCTTACAGCTATTAGCTTGAACTTTCCTCAGATTTTCCATTCTTCCTCTGGTAACAATATGGCCAGAACTAAAAAGAACTCATCAGATGGAGTCCTCCCATGGCTGGCTCTGGAGGGATTGGCTCCTTGCTGCCTGTGACCACCAGCCATGCAGCGACAGAGGGGACAGGACTCACATTCACATTCCTCTCACTCTCCCCACTGTGGCACAGAGCATTCCTGCTTCCTCTCCCACTGCCTCAAGGTTTCTCCATTTTTGAACATCTGGATGGGGGGTGGGGGGTGGGGAGTATATGATCCATCCCAGATGTATTAGCCATAGTTTCCAAACTAAGTCTTTATTTACTTCCTGCACTGTTTCTAAGTTCTAACATCTTATATTGTTTGTTTCTGCTTTCATCGTTGTTTTTAAACATGTCCAAATGTATCACTGGATTAAAGCTTTGTTAGGATGTCATTTTCCTAGAGCGTGTAAGAGTCATGCTAGGTCAGATCAAACAGGCAATGCTTTGGCATTCATCCCCAGCTGCATGGGGGAGCAAGGATCTAGAGGGATAGTTAGGGAAATGTCATAATCCTTCTCTTCTATACATAAAGAAATTTGTGATCAAATGGCTGCCTCAGGATCTGATAGCTGTGGATACCCCTGTTCTCTGTGAATTCATCCTATCCTCTTTTGCATTCATGTAACTTTCAGCTTTGACAAGGTAATTTCAATGTGTCTCCTGTGCAAAACTATTTCCTTTTGTTTGCTTTAAACCTTCTGCCTGATAACAGGCTGCCTCCATCCCTATGCTATGGATAAGGCTAACTCCCCAGACCTAGTAGTGTGTGAGATGTGTTCTGCACCCACACAAGATTTTGCTAATGGCTCCTTTTTAGGCTCTAATGGTCTCACATTTCTCCTTTTTTACTGTTGTTTCTCACATCAGTGTTGCTTTTCTCCATAGGGAAGTGAGAGCTTTCCTCATGTATCCCTTGGCAGCACTACAGTTCCAACTTTGCCACTGCTGTCCCAGGCTACGGAAAGCAGCCTGGGAAGTGAAAGGGGAGGGGGGAACAGACCAAACATGGACTCTGTGCTATTTTACTATAGCCCTGCTTAGCACCCTCTGGCTGCCAAGTAACACTGGCTAGTGCTGGAAACCTGCCCAGGTCTTTCCAATTGCCTTCGTTGCTGAAGGCCGGGAAGGAAGCAGCTCCATGGGAACCCAGCAGGCCTGGGAGCAGGGATGTGAAGGAGGCAAGGGCATTTCCCGCTGCAGTGTGGGCTGCCAGTTCTGCAAAATACCACCAGATGTGTCTTGCTGTAGAGATAATAGCTGTCCTACCATACCCATGCTCACCATGCTCATGCCACAGCTTCAGCTTCTTTGCCTTCTCTTCTTACATGTGCTGGGAGAAGTTGTCACCTCCAGCACTGATTCTTGTTACCTGGCTACAGATGGCTGCAATGCCATTCCCGCTCCTGAATGTGTGATGCTTTCATACTGGCTGACAAGCAGGGATGCGGTGGGATGAAGCTTAACTAGGAGAAGTTATTAATATGGTTACTGCTGTCTTTATATATGTTTGATATTTTTTCTTTTTCTGATCATGTCTCCAAAAGGATGTTTTTTCAAAAACAGTAGGAGAAGGGAACCTGTGCAGATGGAGCAGAAGATCAAGAAGGCACAAAGATAAGGAGGGAAAGGACCACTATAGTAAGGGTGGGGCAGAAGAAAGTCGAAGCTGGACACAGTCTTAGTAAGCCAAGCCATGAGCAGGCAAGCCATATGCTTTGCCCACCAGCCTGTGCTGTTTGCACTAGAGGCTATAAACAGGGACTCCCTGTTTTTACCACTGCTTTTCCTGGAAAACTGAGGTAGAAAGCCATTTGGCAGCCCAAGCAGATGTGGAGAACAGGTAGGAAAGCAGTGGTGCTGGGCAGCACTGGCAGAGGTTGCTTTGCTGGGGGAAAAGGCAGCTAGAGCAGACACACAGTTAGGAGCAATGCTGTATGGATCCACCTCAATGTTGAAGGGAAGGCAAATGTTTGGCATGGCACTGAGAAAGCCCATTGCTGATGGCAGGATGAGCTCCTTTCTAGCATGGCCTGTGCAGAGCAAAATAGCATGTTACCAAACGGAGCCTTTCTCCTGGCCTGTCCAGCCGTGATGGTAAATTTTTTGGCTGTTTGTGCTCATGTTTGGGCTCTCTGTCAGGGTTGTCCTAATAAAGATCTCTGTCAGAGCTGCTAAGCTGCTGGAGTTTTAGCCTCGTCGGACAAGGCTGCAAAGCAAAGCTGCCTCCCCCATCTGTGCTGTCTGCGGGCAGAGCACAGGGACCCTGAGGTGTCTGCCAGCCAGAGGGGTAGAGAGGAACCAACTTCCCCCATAACCAAAAACAGTTTGCAACTCTTTGTTAGCAGACAGCACGGCATTTTCATCTGTCTTTATGCTGTTGAGCAATCTCCTGCTGCTCAGTGCCTGCTGGAGTTCTTTCCCATGCCCACTCCCAGAGCAGAGCAGAGCAGGGTGATACCAGACCACCGAGTGGAGCTCTCCGTGCTGGTACCTGCTCAGCAGACAACTCCTGCATCACACCCCACGTTGCTCTGTCCTCCCCCCGCCCCGTCCCAGCTCGGCAGTTTGGGCTGATGGCTGTGCGGAGGGTGATGCGGTCCCTGCCTCGGGACCGACAGGATTGCTCCCGGGAGCAGTCGGGTGAGCGGGACTGGGGCAGAGGATCGGACTGATCCACGGAGTCCGTGGCGTCTCCTCGTCTTCGTCAGGAGATGGGGCAGGAGAGGAGGTGCGGCGCGGAACCGGGGCCGGGCCCCGGGGAGGAGCGGCGGGAACTGCCCGCGCTGGGCAGGCAGGGGCTGGGCAGGGCTGCGGGAGTCGTGCGGGCATTGAGGACGGCCCAGCGCCATCCCCACCGCGCTCCGGTCTTTCCCCACGAGAGGGCTCGACGACGGCATCCCTCTGCCCGCCGCCCCCCTCTCCTCTCCTCTCCCCCGCCCGCCGCTCTCCGTGCGCTTGGCAGCCCCGACGCCCTCCGCAGCCAGTTTTCCAGCCCTGCGCTTCTTCTGCGGTGACAGCCAGTGGCTGCGGGGGCCTGTTTGCTGTCCGGTTAATAAGTGAGCTGGAGCGGGGGAACTCCCGGCGGAGAACGAGCTCGCCAGTGGGAGGGGGGAGCATTCCTGCGCCGCGGGGCCCCGGCGCGCCCCGCTCCCGCCGCCCCCCGCCGCCCCCCGCCCGCAGGTGCAGGGGGCTGGCACTCGGCAGCTGGAAAGAGCTGGTTGGAGTTTGCACTTTAAGCTCACGGCTTGGAGGGAGCCGGGGTTGGGAGCTGGTCCGGGCGCCCAGCGCCGCGGGAGGATGGCGCGGTGGCTGCGGCCCCTGGTGGGAGCCCTGCTCCTGCTCGAGGGGGCGGCCACCCTCAGCTTCCTCCACCATCGCTACGAGGAGCTGGTGCAGGCCCTGTTCCGCGTGCAAAGCCAGTGTCCCTACGTCACCCGCATCTACAGCATCGGCCGGAGCGTCGAGGGCCGACACCTCTACGTGCTGGAGTTCAGCGACTCCCCGGGCGTGCACGAGCCCCGTAAGTACGGGGGGATGGGGACAGCGGCTCCGAGGGGACGGGCTCGCTGCCACGCTCCCTGCCACGCGGCACTGCTGGGGCACCGGGTGGGGGGTACTCCCGTTCCAGGCAGGACTCCTGGCAATGTCCAGGAGTCGGGCAGTGCCGTCTCCATCGGGGACCCCGCAGCCAGCCCAGGGGCGCGCACGCCCAGCCCGCACGCCTGCACTGTCCTTGCGTGAGCTGCAGCTTCAGCGCGGCCCGGGCGCGCACTTTGGACGGAGCGCTGAGTTTTCAGCGCAAGCTAATGCGAGAACCCAAGCGAGTGTGTCCCAGCACCCCACCTGCCCTGCCACCCTCTCCCTCCCAAAACAGTGTTGCTCAGGCAAGGAGAGGCAGCACCCACCCTCTGCCCTTTGCTGCTGGGGTATTGGCAGGGAAGAGTTCGTGCCTTCCTCCTCCCGACCGCAAAGCCAGGAGGACAGAGAGCAGGGACCCCGGCAGAGCAGGCGCCGGGCTCCCAGAGCCCTGCCAGCCCCGTGGGCTGTGCAGCCCCTGTGACAGGCTGTTCTCAGGGATCTCCACCTGCTGCCACGTGGCCCTGTGGAACCTTGGCAGCAACGGCTCCTTGAGCTGCTGCCTGTGCAGCGTGGAGACATTGCCTAGCCAGACCTTGCTGACAGCCAAGTGCCACGGGGGGCTGAGGGGACCAGCTGGCTCTCCAGGCTGGGTGGCTGCACACAGGACTCCCTTGCATCCCTGCCCGGTGCCCCTGGGCTGCAGATAAGGACAGAGCTCTGCCTACTTTTTGCACGATCTTTGCCTTTTCAAATCCTGGCTGATGTGGTTAAATGT